CAGTAGTACCCTGACGTCGCGTGGTACCACAGGTTCCCCATCTTATAACCGAAAATATATACAGGGTTAGTCACGAGAAAATTATTTCTGGAAATTATTTTTACCCAACCCAAAATACTAATACCCCGTATCACTTGATACTATCTGAATTTAAAATGAAATGCTTAATCCATGATTGCTTTGACTTTGGCAGTGTCCGTTTGAGGTTAGTTAATTTTTACATTTTTCTTCATCGTTTACTCCGCTCTGCAACCCCACTGGATCGACGTACCTCTCTCAATCTGCGCTCTTCTGACGCCGTAAGTACTCTCGCAATATTTTTCTCCGCTAATGGGCATGTGTTAGTTCGCCATCTCTGGGTCAACTAGAGCCTCTTCGAAGTACAAATCTGTACCCTCTGGGCCTCTTCGAGCACCCATTTACAAAAACGCCGTAGCATCCCTCCAACATGCCAACATTTTCAACAGTTGTTGCAATAGTTAAATGATTTAATTACTCTTTCAAGTTTACGTTGTATCCTTTGAATAAAATATCGTACACGTAATTTTTAGAAATAATTATCTCATAAGTAGTCCGTATCATTGCAAAAGATCAAGAGGTACTCGAAGCAAGCCCTAACAAATTTATTAGCGGCGCCAGCGTAGTCTATCTCCGAGTGGCTACGGTATGACCATGGACACTCGCGTAACTTCCTCTCCGGAGTTGTCAAAATGACGCTGCCAAAAGTGCCAAAGTCAAAGCAATCATGGATTAGGCCTTTCATTTTAAATTCAGTTAGTATCAAGTGGTACACGTTATTAGTATTTTGGGTTGCCTAAAAATAATTTTCAGAAATAATTTTCTCGTGACTAACCCTGTATATATAATAATTTCGCGTACGATGGAGTTTGCCATGCCTTTGGCGGTCTATTTTTTTGTTTGTTGATACACTTTGTAAGTAAACTGGTAAAGCCACTTCGTCTCCATTACCCGCTCCACAGGATATCGAAATTGGCCCCCGGTATCCTATTTTCATTGCCATTGTTTCTTTGTGTTGTTTGTTCTTTTTTTAGTCGTTAACCTTTAATAATGAAATATCTTTCTGGCCCTGACGTTTTCGTCAGTTTGGTAACTTTTTCTGATAGGCCTTTAACTGTGATTGCTTTTTAGCTATAACCTACAACCATTTGTTTACATTTGTATCTGGCAATTTTAATCCACCCTCCCCTTTTGAGGTGAGTGAAGCGCAGACGTGAAACCTATTGGAGAGCCAAAAAACTTTTCGAGACTATTCTAGTGGCTTTTTCTTGCAGAGAGCTAGAGCGATAGTATCGTATCTCGTGCCGTGAATTTTTCTCTGTGCCATAGAGGCATCTTCTCATTATCTCGCTAATTACCTCTGGAAAGAAGATCTCTCTCCCTCTCGTACCTAGACGGTTGGCACAAACCTGATCTCCTCGTTTGACCACGCTATTTTCGATTTTCGAAATCCTATCAATTTTCTCTTCCACTCTCGCCTGCCTCGTAGTTACTTTCTAGGCCTAGTGGCTCGGAACCCTTAATTGTTAAGGGTTCTTCTTCCGGACGATTCTTCTTCCGGACGATACTTTTTCCGGACGGTTCTTCTTCAGGACGGCTCTTCTCCCGGAAGGGTCTTTTCCTTTTGGAAGGTATCCCTTCATGTTGCTTTGATTATCTTTGGATGTCCCTGGATCGACTTTAAACACCTCCATAGCACCGGACGTTGGAGTTTCCGGTAGATAAGTACCATCTTGCGTCGCATTGCGTCTTGCTATTTTTATTATACCACCTAAGTCGACGTTTTCTGCCAAACTCCGTAGCCTTGTACCAACCCTATAATCTATATTTATACAGGGTGACTGCGAAATACCATGTTCTGGCATCAACTCAGAGTAACTCTGTTCTTGCTAGTCAGTTAGTTGACAAATTTTTTACATTTTACAGTCCCAAACCATCTTAGACGCACAATAGGTTGCCTCTAAAGTTCTTAATACAACCTGGCTGTCCGACATTATATGAATTTTAGTGCTTTTGAAAGGCTCTTCAAGGCACTCGTTTAAAGAAAGATTTGTAGTAGAAATATCTGTTTATAGAATCGTGAAAGTGTTACCTAAGCGTGCAGACATCCTGCATTCCAATCCGCTGGTCTTATTTTCACTCCTCTATATGTATACCAAACGACTGCATGCTTTAGTAATTAGGTGAGAATCGGTTCGACCTCTTGGTGGAGTATTGAGCCACTTCAACTGGCATCGAATTTTATTCAGAAACTTAATGTGACCTACCATGTCTCCCAATTTTAACTGTTTTGTCTGTACAATACTGATTTCCTCCTAAAGCATCATACCGTTGATACATAGGTCTAACAACCGTCAAGTAGAACTAATAGATCATTTTTGGCTCTAGAACGTTGTTGGCGGCATGTCCACAATGCCGCTGTTATTTTTGTAAGAATTCTTTTACGTGAGTATCCCAAGTGAGTCGTTTATCCAGGAATATTCCTAGAAATTTGACTTCTTCAGAACACTGTAATATTTTTTCCTGCAAAAGTGGTGCTGTTAACTTGAGCTTCCTTTTTTTTCGTAAAGAAAGAAAGAATAGTTTTGCTCTGGTTCATGCTAATCGCTTCCTCTCTGAGCACCACTTTGTCTATCTCTAAGTTGAATTATCAGTTCGCCAACAACAAATGTCCACAGCAGAAGTGACAAAACTCCGCCTTGCGAACATTCAGCTACTTAACATGGATTTTGTCCTTTTAATTGTTAAGGTTGAACTATTTGTTTCCTTTGACAAACTTCCGATAAAGCAATTTCAAGGCTGATTTTAGATGTCAAAGGTTTGTCTGAAGGACCTTGACTTAGGTTTCGTAATGATGCTCTCCTTTAACGTTTTCTTAAGTACCTGTTTGCCTTTAGAGTTTGCTTTGGGTGGCGACGTGATTTTTAAAGTCTTGGTCTTAGGGAGTTAAGGCAGATTTTGCCGCCTTTAACTTTTCGCGTTCGGTATTGTCAACAGATGATGGTAGCATCTTGGATTTGTTGGAGGTCCCTACTGCAGGCTATTCAGTTTCCTCCACTTGGTGAACCCTTTTGGTTTTGCCACTCCTTGACCTTAATCGAACTTTGGGATTCGAGTGAGTTTTAAAATTTTCGCATTTGAGTAGTCTTGACCACCGGGTATGTATACCACTATGATTTTGGTGTGAGGTATTTCTGCCTTCTCCACCACTCATAGTGATGCCCATGATGTATTTTATACATATATTATAGGGGTTTATTTAATCCCACCCCTTATGTTTCTCAGCCACTGTACGGTGACTTGGTCTGCACAGACACTATATAGTCATTGTGGTCTGTGCATTCAAAAGTGGGCTTTACTTCAGATTCTTTTTCCAGCTCCTCTATTTTGTCCACAATCACCTCCTGTACGGTCTTAAATTGGTCCGCTGGCAGAGACTTCTGTGGAAAGGCATTGGGCATGATTTATACCTTGACGGCAACGAGGGCTTGGCTGAAAGAAGGCTTGAAGGATTTAGCCTCTGCCCTTTGTGTCTTCTTTGCTTCATAGCCTTCAGGAGTATCACCCCCAGATTAGAAGCTTTTCGATCCTTGATTGTCCTTGGGCTCTTTAGAGAAGTTGTTTTGCCTTCTTTAAGTTATCTTCTTTGGAAAACCGCTTGTTTGCTGAGAAAAAGTTTCAACCTTTTCCTAGCAGCGTCGCTTATTCGGGGCCTCTGGTGTTTTAATTTAAGGCCTTGGGGGCTGTTATCACTACAATTTTACAAACAGCAATAGTCGTGCGAAAAGAAGGAAATAAACAAGTAAGGCAGATCACTTTGTGTATTTGTTACCCTGTAAAATGTGCAACCTAAGAGGACGACCTCCAAAAGTATCTTCAAGCTTTTGGAAAAGGAATGGCTCTAGAAACATCTCAGTGACTCAAATCTTGTCCATTCTGTTTTTTCAGAATCTTAGGAAAAAGAAGAAAACCCTCCACTGGCTAAAGAGTGTGAAAAGCCTCCTTCAAAAATTTTGTGAGGCAAATTATAAATCGAAACCCAGAAAACTATGAAGTTAAATTTCTCAACATATGGTCATGAATCATTTTGATAACACTACCGACGTTGCCTTGACCAGATTTGAAGAGATAGGCCTAAAACTATTTTAACCTATGATTAAAAGCGGAAAAGATACAGCATCATGAAGTACTGTTGTAACAGTGTAAATTTTCTGAAATACCAATGAAATGTTTACTCTTTTTAGAATAAATGGAATTTGATGATTCCACAAAATAACCTAATTTCTGTTATAAGTAATGTTTGTAGTGTCCTAATTATCCCCAGGCTATGTTCGTTCTTACCTTATAATTGATGATGAATTGCATAAAAGAATTGCTTTACCAATGTTGTAACAATTTTTTTATGTGCTTGGTGGTTTTGTTTATTCATAAGAAAAGAGCCGTTATTGAATTTATGATATAGGTGTGTTTTTCTGCAAATGAACGTGTTTACAAATTATAAACTTGACTTAAAAATGTGGATATAATAAAGGCTAACTAACGGGTGTACACAAAAAAATATATTTCGATCGGGCCTTGGAATTATTAATTGCCGTTTATTTATAACAGGGTAATTATTTTAGGACCGACTGTAAAAAAAAATACAATTTAAATTATAAACATAGAAAGCAGTTACTTTGAAATTTTGCAAATGTGTCAAAGTATTCATGTGTTCAATCATTCCAAAAACTTGATGACGTAGTATTAAAATTTTATTAAGTAAATCTGGTTTGAAATTTATCCTGTGATACGATTTTTATTTATGCTTTAATTAGGTGCGTAGGTGGGTCATCTAGTGATCGATAATATAAACTAATTTTATAATCGAACTAAAGATGACACAAAACCATATTCTACCTGATTTATGTTGGTAGCACTGTTGTAAAATCCCGAAATACATTTAAGATAAGTAGATACTTAGATATGTCCTAATACGATATAAATTAAGATACACTACTCTTTGGCAAGCCATTGCAGGTAAAAAATTGAGTGGTGACTTTGTTCCTTCGAAACAGTTACGTTTAAATAGTTCTGTCAGGTATGTAAATATTTATATAAAATGTTTTTATGTTAAGTGGTTAAATCAGTATTTTAATCAGTTTTTTTTTTGGCATATTTGTGTCATTCTCTGTGAATTGATGACTCTGCAATAGAATTTCGGTCTACTTAACCCTTATTGCATTAGAAATTATATCGATATATAAATTATAGTTGCTCTTTTGATTTTGATAAAAAGTGACAAAAATATAAAATTTTTGATAAATGCAACATTTTGCTCCCAATTCTTCTGCAATTTTTTTAACAAAAGATTATGTAAAGTTGTATGAAAAACGCTGCAATTTAATATTCTCGTACAAGCTGTTCAGCTTTTTCTGTGGTATTTGTTAAGGCAAGCATCGATTTGCTTATCTAGAAATATCGGTGAATTCCAGGAAAATATTGATAGCATTTATTGTGTAAGCTGCAAAAGTTTCAAAATATGTTACACGTGTAATCAATGAGACTTAAAAAAGAATGTTTAACACACACATTGTTTTTGAATATCAATGGCATTTTAGATTATTTAAAAATATATATTTTACAAAATTACAGTGAACATTATTTTTATATTAACGTTATAATTATCTTCATTTATTTTTGCTAAGATCTCCACCATAAGCGCAAGAATTTAATGATTTAAACAATTTATTAATCTCAAGAATGTTAGCTACTTTTTTCGAATATAGGGTTGGTATCAATGTCGCAATCGAACCAAATGACGTACATCTGAGATAAGTAAGTTAATACGTCCCATTTAAACTGATAAAAATTTGACTATCTGTTTAATCTAAACAAAAAAATTCGACAGTCTTCACACTATCTTTAAACAGTTAGAGCAGAAATGTATTGAGAAACCTTCAAATATTTACCATAAAAAAACATATATATCTGTTTTGGTGAAACAATATTGATCTAATGCTGCCTTTTTAAAACTGACATTTCGGCAGAATTGTTGCAAACTAATGTGATTTTGATATATAATGTACGGTGAAGAAAAAATGCTCCTAATATTTCATCTTTGTGTAAATTACCCGTGTAGGGGACACACGAATGGGCTGTTGTTTTGAATTTCTCAGGTTCTGCTTTTAATCTAAAAAGTTTATTTTCAAATAATTAAAACCAAGCAGATAACTACATTTTCTTTAATTTATTCAACTCAACAAGTCTTGTAAGCTTTGGGCATTTTTTTTTATATTTATTTATTTTTGTTCATTGCCTTTTTTGTCCAAGTCTGGATCTGCAGACCTTTCAGATTGTCTTCTTTAATTAATTCTTTGGGCCTTTACAAATGCGATACAACTGGGCTTTCTCATTTCTCTAATGCTTCTTTTTTCGTTTTGTCCAGCAGTCAGATTTCGCAGGCATATGTTACTGTAGGTCTTATCAAGGACTTATAGTAGTAGTATTAATTTATTATTTGCCTTACGGGCTCAATAAGATTCCCAGTAGAGGTACAAATTAACTTAATCTACACAATACAAATAAATCAGTCAAAATAAATAAAATAAATATTTGAGTTTTATATGGTAATAATTGTTCTATTCTTTCTGCTTGCCCACTCCTTGCCTTAGTTCCCTTATCTTCCGTACTTTTTTCATCCAGTCCAGTCCTCTTTCATCTTCGTTTAGCACTTCTTCCCTACTTTCCTCCGATTCTCTTAATCCTTCACATCCTTCCAGCATATACTCTATTGTTTCTCCCTCTTTCCTACATATCCTACACCTTCTGTCAGTTTCATTCATCCAAAAGTTATTCTCTTTCTCTTCATTTCCACACCTAAATCTCGCCATCATTCTTTTCTACTTTATACTCTCTCTCTGTGTGTACGTTGGTACTTCATCCTTTACTATTTTTCTATACTCCACATTATATCTAGACTCCGATATTCTCGATCTGCTTTCTTACTTATCTATATCCTTATCTCTTACACACAGTTCTTCTTTCATACTCCTTTCCATTTCTCTCATTCTCTCTATTTCTTCACATGCATATCCCTTTCCTTCATAATACTTGTCTCTTTCGTTCCAAATATATTTTTCTTTTTTCTTTTCAACATTCTTGCAATATTTTACAATTACGTCTATCACTAAACTTCTTTTCAAATCCAACCGCCCTTTTACTCGCTTCCACTCTCATTTTCTCCGTTTTTGTTTCATCTGTCACTATATACCCCGGCGTATACTTTTCCAATCCCAGTGTCAATTTTAAATATTTTTCTTGCACTCTCTCTATTTTTTCATATTCCCTCCATCCCCAAATCTCAGCTCCGTACATAAATACACTTTTGATCAAAGTATCAAACATCATCATTCTACTCTTATAATCCCAATGTCCAAATTTTCTCTCTCCTATTCGCCATACTATTCCTATCACTTTGTTGGCTTTTTGGACCATTTCTTGAATATGCGTTCTATCTGAGTTATTGCTCTCTAATGTATATCTTAAATACTGGAATTCTTTCAGCTGTTCAATCTTATTCCCTCTCCATGCCCACTCTTCCTTCTCCTTTCTTACTTTCTTCCCACACACCGCTATTTTTTGTTTTTCCACATCCACTTCCAATTTCTTTCTTTGTACGTACTTTTAAACATTGTTTTCATTTCTTCTCCTTTCTTTGCCACAATCACCAAATCATCTGCGTACGTCAACGATCACACTTTCTCTTTGCCCACTACCGCCCCTCCTGTCTGAACATTTCATCTATATCTCTTAGATAAGCTGCAAACAATGCGGGGCTGAGTGGACATCTCTGTCTCACTCCTCTATTAGTATAAAAACTCTCGCTCTCTATTGCATTCACTCTCACCTTACTTACTATTTCTTCATATGTTTCTTTCATTTTCGTTACCAGGTACACATCTACTCCCTTTGCGTATATTTGTCCACCCTCTTTCCTTATTACTCTTCCCACTAAATGTCGCAAGATATACACATTGTCCATAATACCTCTTCCTTTCCTAAACCCTGCCCGACCGTCTGGTAACATACCCCTAGCTTCCATCTCCTTTCGTAACCTCTCATCTAGTACCATTGCGTATATCTTGTACGCCGTATTGAGCAAGGTGAGCCCTCGGTAGTTCTTCACATCACTTTTTTGCCCCTTTTTAAATAATGAGCTTATTATACCTTCTCTCCACTGCCGAGGAAACACTTTTTCCTTCCAAACTCCATCTACCGCTTACCATATCCTTTCTTTCACTCCTTCTGTCCCGAAGATCCATGCTTCATTCTGGATGCCATCCCCTCCTTGTGCCTTTCCTCTTTTCAGTCTTTCAATTTGTCTTCCTTTTTCATCCATTTTGTTATTTCCGAACCGCTCCACATTTCTTCCCTCGTTGTGATTCTTTTATTTATTTTGCAGCATGTTTCCTCACAACCTCCTAATAATTCCATAAAGTGTCTTTTCCATTCATGTATTTTGATTTTCCTACTGACTTTAGTCTTCCTTCTCTGTTCCTTGTTTATATATCTTCATACTTCTTCTGTTTTCAGGGACTTTATTGTCATATCTTCTTCTTCTCGTTTCTCTCTTTCTTTCTTCACATTTTCTACTATAATTCTCTCTTGCTTTTAAGTACTCTTCCTTTCTTCCCCTGTTGTTCTTCCATTTTCTTAATTGTCCCTTTGCTTTTTCTTCAACTCACTACATTCTCCGTTCCATCCATTATTCCTCCTTTGCCATATGTATATCTTTCTTTTTTCCGTAGCTTCTACAAATAAGTTGATCAGCCCTGCTATCATAGCTTCTATATCTATATTTTTATTTCCACCCTTTCCCCCACCTTGAAACTCTCTATTTATTCCCACGCCTTTTCGTTGACAATCCCATAGTCTATAATTGATTTTCCCCTAGCCCCTACGTACGTCCATTCTCCTTCTTCATCTCCTCCCTTGTTTCCATTCAAAATTTCCCATCTCATTTCTTCTATTATCTTCCACAATATTTTCCCTTCTTTGTTATTTGCTTTGTCTTTTGATCTTCATTTCTCTCCCTTTTCTTTATCTATTGCTCTTGTGCTCTTATAGCCCAATCTTGCGTTAAAATTCCCTCCTATAAGTATATTTCATTTCCATTTTCTTTTGTTTCCTTTTCTATGTTTATCTTGGTTTCCTCCATTTTCTTGCTGCAAACGGTTATTATTTCCCATCGATTGTTATCCAGCTGTATTACTTTCTTCATTAGCTATCACGGGCTAATAATAATTCTTATTTTTACTTACTTGAACACATATTCGGATTTTATTAAGGTTCGTAAACGTACCAACTTTATACATCCTTTCGCAATTCTTGCTTTTAGCTCATGCCGTTGGTGCCCAAAATACAAAAATTTTTCTACTTTTTCGAATTTGTACGTTCCTCCCTTATTTTGTTTGCTATTACCGTCTACCACCGATGTATACATATTTTCTTTTCCTACTTTTGCGTTGTAATCTCCCATAACCAAAATGTCCGTTTTGTAACTCTCTAACTCCCCTTTTAATGGGGTTTCCTAACTTTAATCTAGCCCTATTTATGCTTTTTTATGTATTTCCTTCTCATTTCTTTGTTCTTCGTTGTTTTCGTCATTAGTGTGTTTCCCTATCTTATTTTCAACTAGTCTTTTTGTCGTGTTTTTCCTGTAATTTTTCGTAAATTGTCGCTGAGGTCCTATCCTCCCAGGGATATTCCTAGTGTAGTTATTATAATTTATATATATTTTTTGTCTTACTACTTCTTTCATTTCGGGGACCAAAATTTTTCGTTCATCTCTTATTGACTCAATATGATCTTTTTCTATAAAAATTTTTTAGAATGTTGTGTCCTTGTTCTTTACTTTTGCATCTTTACCAGTATTGATTTTTCTTGTTTTTCGACTCTTGTGGTTTATCAATGCATTCATATTTCTTAGAATTGTTTATACAAGGTAACACAAAACATTTAATGAATACTTAATTAGTATTTTTTTATCAAATCAAGAGCGGGTCGCCCTATTGTACCGAAAATGTGAGCATTGGTATCTTTAATTTAACTTATAGGGGTTATTATTTAACATAAAATTTGCAGAATTAAATTTTATAATTTTTCGAAACCGTATTTTTTGACTGTACTTAGGCGAGGGAAGTTCTGTCAAAGACAACATCGACCAATTTTTGTAATATTAAATAACCACTTTGGAACAGATGTCCAGGGTGTTCTTTCACAGTAACCGTGTAAGTTCTAAAGATTAATTTTATTAGTGTTTAAAATTGTTGTCAATCAAGATTGCTCCGATAAAACCTTGCAAGGCTAGATAAGCGTTGTTTGTTAAACTTACATAAAACAAAATTACCCAAAAAAGATATAATAATCTCTTATCTGCGTCGTAGACTGGCGTCAATGTTCTGGTTTTCCCCGAACAGCGAATTTAGATATCTTAAAATTTGTTAACGTTTAATAGCCTTTACATAAAAACATACCCATATGTTTGATCCACAAAATAGTTATGCTGGAGCTCATTTTTGTGTATACATTGATCAAAACAGTGTTTTGTATTTTGCCACATAACGGACGCGCATATAAAGTTTTAGTTTTGATAAACAAAATTAAATATTACAGAAAGGATTATAGAAAGTAACAATCCATATCTACACTCTACCTATAATTTGCATCTGAAAAAAGTTGTGATTAAAAATAACCTGTCTGACTCACGTATTAAGTGACCAAAACTTATTTTTGCCTTTTTCCAGCTATGGGTGCAACATTTTCAAAACTTGATGCTGACCTCATCCAGGCCATTGAATCAAATGTAATCGATCTATTGATCAAGTTAAAAGAAGCGGAACTCTATATCGACAATTTCGTAAAATTTTATACCCTAAGAGGTCTCGACTTCTACATCGGGCTGATCGATAGCGAAAGACAAAAAGGACACATATCGCACCATAAAGCGTTCAAACTAAAGGATCTAATTCATAGAGCAATAGATAAATTGAAGGAGATGCAAACATGTCCAAGCGTCACTTGTAATATACAACCTGGTAAGAACAACAGTTTTCTGTATAACATTTTGACATACTGTTTCAGAAAAAGGACCGGAAGAACTGAAGAACGAATTCTTAAAAGTTCAGAAAGATATGGAAAGCCATCAAATTCCAAGCGACAAGTGCGAACAAAGTTTAAACATTGTTCGGACGTACGTTCAAAATTTGGAAAACTCTGAAAGCGTTTCTACCCACGAAGAACAAAACTGTATTTCTGTTTTGGTTTTGAGACTATATTTGAAGTCTCCACCAACGAAAATTTCAGACATTCTTCAAGAAAACCTAGACGTTCTAGGACGCGTTATTGAAACTTTTGGACTATTGAACTGGGACAACGTTAGTATTTCTGAAACGGAAAATGTAAATTTAAAAGTACAAGAATTTAAATCGAAACTGGACACCCTCAACAAATTAGCTAACCAAAAATTGAGAATAAATACTTCCGGTAGGTATCTCACTTAGTGAAAACTACTGTTATGTTTGAGTTATTTCAGAAAGCGATTCTTCCTTCAAAAAACTTACCGACGACATCAATGAATACGAATTTCTCATCAACAAACTAGGATCGCCTTGTGGAGAAAATGCTTTAAATTGTATCCAAAACAAACTTAAGTTTTTGATAGATTGTCAACTTAGCGCGTTACCAACGATGAAAAAAGAAACAGAAACGAAAAAGAAATTTCTTTTGAACAAAAGAATACGGGTTTTACACAAAATAAACCGAATCAAGAAACGAAATGAAGAAGTAAACGAAAGTTTGAGGATTCTTGAAGAAATTGAGAGAAAGTTTCTAACTTCAGTCAATACGAATGAAGATTTTATCTCTAAGAAGGCTATCATAGAACAGTTTCAACAACAAGTTGACGACTTGAAAATTCGTAGTAATGAATTTCGTATACGAAAAATCGAAATTTCCAACAAATTAGACGGTTTTCTTATTCTGGAGGTGACACATGTGTTAAGAAACATCAAACAATTTATAGACACTTTTAAAGTGTATGCACAACAATTTAGTTTTATTAAAAATGTCGATGTGTACGAATTTAGAAAAAATGAAATCAAATCTGCTTTGAAACTCTTAGACGATCTCCCTCGAAGTATAGAATTTATAGATTTAAGGGTTCAGTCGATGCAAGATGAAATCCAAAATAATTTAGACATTTTGGAAAGAAAAGCCATCGATAATCAAAATTTCTTTACCATATTGGATCAGTTGGACCACATTAAGAACCACATTGAATTTATAAACTCGATTCCAAATTCGCTGTTATGGAAACTAAAAGAAATGAACAAAATCCGAAAAAGACTACTTATTATTGACAATTTTAACAATAGAATAACGACAAAGAAAGTTGAGATCTTTTTGCAACTCCACGAAGCTGAGGAGAAAATTTATTCGTCGGAAAGCTGTCAAAACCTACAAGACATTAAAGTGCTTTTGGATGGCTACGAAAAAAAAGTACAAGAATTTTCTGGGCAAATTGCCGACGAAGATTATTATAAACACAAAAATGAACTTGCGGCTGCTTTAAACGATATTCAGAAGTTATCCGACGCCAAAACGGAGAATCAAGAAGTTGCCTCCGTTTTAAAAAATACAGCAGATTTAATCTTGAACTTGTTGGACAAAGTTTCAACGGAAAACAAAGATCAAGATGATTGCCTTCGCAGTTTAAACAATATCGAAGAAAATATAGCAAGGGCAACCGATCTTACACCAGAACAAAGAAAGGAGACATTAGAAGAATATGAGGAGATTCTGCAACCAATTAAATGTAGTTCAAAGGAGCTAAAAACTCTAAACAAATTATGGAACGTTGAAAGACGCATTAAAATAGAAAAGGCTAAATTAGAGTTGCACGACTTGGACAAGCAGCTTGAAATTGTGAAGGAAGATTTGGTTCAAGTTCATCTCCCGTTAAAGTCCTCACTTTTTAAAGAATGTTTGGGCAAACTTCTGCTTTTGAAAGAAACGGCTGAGGACATGCCGGAAGGAGACTCGAAACTGGATTCTGAAAAAACCCTGTTTGTTCAAAAAGTGCTGGGTACGATTCAATCTTTAGATAAAAATTTCACAGAAAAGTTACGTGCGAAAAGGGCAGAGAAGATGTGTGAAATGAAACGCTTCTATGACGAAGTGGAATATGTGTCAGAAGACTCTAACGAAGTTATTCAAACAATTTTGAACAGAGCTAAAAATTGTGAAAATCACATTACATATTATTTGGGAGATGATAGTTCTTCTGATTATTGCGCTCTTCGTCAAAATTTGAAAGGGCTGTTGCATGAATTAGAAGGGTTAGATTGTGACGATGAAGAACTCTTACATCAAGTTAAGGAAGGAAAGAATTATATTAATGGGTTAATGCGTCGACTGGATTAAAAATCAAAGTGGGTTTAAACAAACAAATATAAATTATATTATGGTGTATTATGGGTAAATTGTTGACATAATGAATGTTGTGCTATTTTACTTGATTAATAAATGTTCTTAGAAGGACGAAGCACCCAGTTCTTTGTTTGTTAGGCGCAAAATACACACCAAAACTTCGTGAGGTACGCTTCACCACCACGCGCAACTTTTCTATTTTAGCGCTTAGAATATTTCGTTGCTTTTTCATATATTTGGTATTATTTTTTAGTTCCGTTAATTTGGACAAGTAATTGCGAATAATATAATTTTTACATTCAATTTTTGGATATGAAATTGTGGGCTATACGGAGATAATGACAGTAATTTATGGTAGACACCACTGTCTCCGTCGGCTATTATTTTGCCATAAATTAGGCTATACATAGCAACTGATTTTCTAAACCCTTCTAAAATAATGTCTGCTTCCATAGCGGTGGAACTTTTTAGACGAAACATTTAGTAAATAACTCTTATCTTAGAGTTTTCAGTTTGACAGAATCGCCATTAGGTTCGGCAGAATGTATACAGGCTGATTCATTCAAAAAGGTTGCGTGAAAATTCTATAGCGCGCTCTACAAGTAAAAATAAATAAAATAAACAAGCAATAATGCTTACTTTAAAAGTTACAGCTAAGTATTTATTGACAAAGTCAGTATTTATTGACAAAGTTAGCTTATCCCCTCCAATAATTGTTCGAAATGTCTTCCACAGGTTTCAATCATTTATACTCACAATCATTTGTGCTTATGTCACTTATTGCAGACGATTTTTTCAACATTTCGGTGAATTTTAATCCCATTTGACCTTTTGGCAATAAATTCTTTTTCCGTTAAACGAGCCATTATTATGCGACTTTGATAGAAGTATAGACAAACAAAAAACATATTTGTCTAAAATTCACGAACTACCGGATTACATACAGCCAAAAATTATTCTTGATTTTATTAAACCAACAAAAACTGATAAAAGCGATTGTCTTTGACAGATTTTTGTTTTAATTTTTAGATACTAGAAACAAAAAAAATAGACACTTCTTGAAACTTTGGCGAATAAGACAACTGATAACAAGTTTTTATTTATTTTTTAATAAATCTTTAGAATAAATTTTTCGAATGTGTTTCGCCTAAATTAATTTTGGATTATGGTTTATGGTTATGGTTATGGTATCAGATTTATTAGATTATTATCAGAGTTTTGGTAAGCAGATGATTGACTTGGTATTAGTCACAGAACACTACTAATGGGCTTTTTCTCTGTATTTTTGTATATGGAACCACCATCACCAACATGAAATTACAATCACAATAACTAAACTGCCAACTACTAAAGAAACGTAAAATAAAAAAGATGTATCTGTATCTGTGGCATGTATTTTTTATCTAGATACAGACATTTTGTGTTTAACTTTGACTTTGTCTATACTGTTACGAAATAAACCCATACGCCACCCCGGTCCGACGCCTATGGTTTCCCGAGTTTTCTGGCAATAATGACGCATCGTGGATGACGTCACCCAGACAAAGCTCGCACAAAGACAGGCCTCAAGCGGATTACCGGAAGTCTCGATTGCGGCGTCCACAAAAACTCTCGAAGCGGCGTTCGTTAAAGAAAGGCCTAGAAACGGAAGTCGCGATGAATTCCAGAAGGATTTCGATTGGGAAATATCGAGAAGGGAATACGAGTTTCATTAGAGCCAACCGTCGAGAGCGATTCATTTATTCAGCTAGGTAGTTGAGTCAAGAGCGTCCAGTGAAATTCGCCGGGATAATTTCTGTGCATAATCGTTGCAATAGTTAATCGTATAAGTTCGAGTAAGAAATAAATTGTTGAGTTTTAACCTAGGCTAATTTTAATCACCCGCCAAACGTAACAATATACACATAATAGATAAGCACTGATCATAACCCTGTATATATTTTTTGACTTGTATAGTACGAGTACCCCGTAGGATTTTTGCCAAACTTTTTACAATCATCCTGTATATTCATAATCCACACAATTATAATTTATATCCATCTAAATTTAAAATTATTCATTAAAACTCAAAACCCTAATACCATTTCGTTCTGTATATCACCGATCGTATCAAATCCTTCTTATCTAAATAACAAGAAAACGGTATTAATAACACATTTAAGCGAAGAAATTAATAGACGGGCTTGATAAGCCTCGTTTGCTCTACAGTGTCCAAATTGTGTTTGAATATAATAATAATCTTGATATTTTAAAAGTATACCGGAAATGATTATTCTGGGCTGAAGGAATGTTGTGGACAGCCGGTCATAAATTATCATTATTGTTCATTATCGGCTTACGATGTTTTTATGACCCATGTCCGGTAATCGTCTATCCCAGCGCGTCAGGTAGATTTAAAGAAGAATTGCTGCTTGCGTTTAAGGCAACAAATGGCGCCCATTTCAAACTTTTAAGTGTTATGTAAAATATTTCGAATACGCTCTGTTGTAATCCTTACTGATTCAGCTACACTTTCACTCTGCGGTCAGCCAAGACGATTTTATGATCTTTTTCTGTAATTTCTGGAGTGGTCACCTCAACACTCCACTCCGTGATTCATTATTTGGGGTGATTCGGCCCATTTTAAATTTAGCAACCCATCAATTAATTGTTGTATACGATGAAGAGGAGTTCCCAAAGTTGTATCCAACTCTTTTTTGATCTCTTTAAGCCCTTCAAAAAAAAAAAAATCACTGCCCGAAGTTCCACTTTTTCGAATTTGTTAAAATTGATGCATCTGATGGAGGATGAAATTATGGAATGCCATCATTATACTAATCTTATTACTTCCACATCTATGTGAGGCCCGGTACTTGTCACGCCACCCTCGTAACATAAGAGAGAAAGCCTTTTTTGGGGAGGCGCATCGCTAAAAAATGAAATTATAGTTATAGGGGAACAATTCCATCATACATGATTTTTACGTAACTTTAACTGCCCATTCACAATGGACATAAGGCATAACAAGTACATAAAGCTTACATAAATACGTAAAGTTGAAACGATGGAAAACGTGTACCCCTGTTCACAGTGGACGAACGTAATTCTTATGCTTATGAACGTTTTATGTAATCCTTGTGTGCGTACACAAAGTTGAAATAAGTTCAACTTTGTGCACGAATTATGTCAAAATTATGTTAAAATCTCGGGACTTTTGAATGCTGCTATTGAATTCCCTTTGACAGTTGGCGCTTGGCACTTCACACCTTTGATTATATTATATAAATTATAATCAAAGCTTCACACTGCGAGTCTGTTCTGTACTGTGAATTGTCAAGTTCGAATATCGTATGAAATTGTAGGTTAGATATTTTTTTTGAGTCAGTTTGAGGTTAGCCGTTTCTATGTTTAGCCGGGAGTTATTCCGTTCTGCGTTTGCGCAGTTTAACAATTCTTACAGAATTCACTCTGTCCACTGTGAACGTAGATAAGCATAAGCCAGACACAAACCAAAAACGTAAATTATGTTATGCGCTCGTTCTTATGTCTTATGTCCATTGTGAATGGGCAGTAAACGTTTAAGCAGCGTAAGCAACGCAAGCTGTCAAAGGAGGAATAATTTTCCCGTTTTTCCGATCTTTATATAGCCTATGGCCTTCCTCGATAAATGGACTATCCAACACAAACAGATTTTTTAAATTCCAACCAGTAGTTTCTGAGATTAGCGCGTTCAACCAAAGAAACTCTTCAGCTTTGTAATATCAGTACAGATTAACATAACAGACTTTGTATGAAATAATATACTTCTGTATTTGTGGTTTACGAACCTATCTTGATTTTGTTGTCATTATATGTATTGTTTATCCGCCTTGTTCTTTAGGAATATAGTATGCAATCGAGTTACAGCTGGCGTGTATCACTAGTAAAGTTTCTATTTCACACACCCAGGGTCAGCTGGTTGAAAATACCTGGCGGCATATCTGTTTTCTTTTTCTTCATAAAATAAAATAAATTTAATAAAATTAATTACTCTCTAATTTTTGTTGATCAAATTAAGAACCATTTTCTCGAAAATATGAGAATATGCACGTGTTTATTTCATAGTGGTTAAATAAGGATTATAATAATAATCAGAACATTTTGTTCGATTGTGGTTTAATTAATAATTTCTAAGTGACATTCTTCCGACATATAAAAGACATAAACACTTTAAGTTGTTCTTAATGCTGAGAGGCCATTATTTCTCGTTAGTTTTCTGCTTTCAATAAACAGGGTAGAAATAGAAAAAAATCAAAGACCAAAGTTGTGCGGTTCTTTGAGGAATATATTCTAAAATCATTTTTAACTATGTATATAGAGTGTTCCATTTTTAACGCAGCCACAAATTAGTTTTTTTAAGTGAAACATGCTATACATTTTTTATTTTTACATATTTTGATTGGCCTCTTCTTAGAGATTCACAATCACAGTTTCTTTTTGAAATTTCGATTCAACGTTGCCACGTTATTACAGTTTTCTTAAAACCACTGGAAGGATTCACAAAAAAGCGCAGTAGATATATTTTTACAGTCGGTCTTGCAATATTTTGCGGAGAAATAAAGAAAAGCACGCGCTTTGTTGTGTTATAAATGAGATTAAATTTTCGTATACAGGTGTTTATAAAAAAATGTTTTAATTATTATAATTTTCAAATATCGATATTTCAGTTTTTTTCAAATAGAACACACACTCTCTTTTACAACCGCATCTTATTGTATTTTTCGTTCTCTTCTTTTTTGCCGAATGTTAAAGTCGATAGTTACTGTGATTTTTATCTTTTTTAAGAGATGCATCATATATTAGAAAAATAAGGACAAAAAAAAGAAAACTTGAATGCAGTAATAAAATGCAGGATGGTCCTGAAATATTAATATTTGAAATTTGTAAAATTTTATATTTTTTATGAACACTTGTATACGAAAATTTGATTTAGTTGTTACCACAACAAAATTCGTACCTTTATTTATCCTTGCACAAAATATTCTAAATTTTAAAAATAGCCCTATGAAGTTTAGATAATAAAATTAAGTGATCAAGACAATCAAAAGCTTTCGCAAAATCTGTATACATGACCTCTACTTAGGACCCATTGTCAATAACTTCTGTCAGAAATTTGGAAAAACAAGCTAAATTGGTTATTGTTGAGCGCCCATGAACAAATCCATGCTGCTGCGGAGAGATATATTTTCGGACATGAGGATAGATAAACGAATACAGAACAATTTCAAAAACTTTTGAAATTTATGTATTTATTATTGAAACAGGACGGTATTTATCTATTTCAGCATTACTGCCTGATTTGAAGATTGGCGTGACTTTCGAAGTCTTCCACTTTTTGGCAATGTACCAGTAGTAAGGGCAACATTAAAAATTGCCAACAAAGGTTGAACAAAAATACTTTCACAATCGTGTATCACAAAACCTGGGATTTGGTCAGACCCAGCAGTAAAAGAATTTTTAATTTTATTCAGAGCAACTAAAATGCCATTCTGAGTAATGCTGGATATAGATAAAGAAAGATAATCAGACGAAGGCACTGAAAAATCTGTTGAATTCTGAGAGGAAACATAGGACGACTGAAAAAATTTGGCGAACGCGTTGACGATGTCTTCTGGAGAATTTAAAGAAATGTTATTAAAAGTCATTTTTCCGGGTATGCGTGTTTGACCTTTCATTGATTTTACATAGGACCAGAATTTTTTTAGGTCCTGGGATAGATTATTTTGAATGGAATTCAGATATTCTTGATAAGCTAGAGATATTTGATTTTTAGTGATAGTACGATAATGTATAAATTTGACGTAATAGAAGCTATCATTAGTAAACCTTTTAATTTAATGTTATTGATAATCACAGAATTGAACCATGGCGGAAATTGCATTTTATTCAATTTATTTTCATCAATTGGGACATGCTTATCAAAAATATGATACAGAGCGTAATAAAATTGATCTACCATGCTATCGACATCAACACAATTAAGTTAGAAAGAACCAATGTGTATTTAATAATTCCTGATATAAGGAAGGATAATCAGCTCTCTTAAAATTGTATAGTTTTACACCATTTGGTCTAGTGGAAGGGAAGTTACTAAATGGGTGTCTTCCGCAACCCCAGGACTGCAATCATGTACAACCCGACAATGGACATTGGAAAATACAAGATCCAGTCATTTGTTTGAGGCGTTTTTCACACAATTATATTGAATAAAATTCATAAGACTACAAAAATTATTGAGGGTATGTATGTACCAAGACATTATCATTATTTTGAATAAATTGTAGGATGTTAAAGTCTTATAAGACCAAAATATTACCTCCTTTTTTGAAAAACTCCTCAAAAAAGTTACAAAATATCAGAAAATCATCACATGTTGGAGTTCTTGAGAAATGTACAACAAATACATAAAATATCGAATTTTTAAGCCAACATTTACATCATATAATTTCAATTATGTCTAAATTATTACGTAATTGAGATAAGTCAACAACTTCGGCAATTATGTGAGATCGCAGTGCTAAAAGGACACCACCACCTCTAGATATATTTAACTCTTGACAATTACGACCGTTTCTAAAGATATTATACAGTTCGGAATAAACAATTTCAGAGTTTGAGATAGAACTATGTCATAACTTAAATCTAACGTGGCATTAAAACATTTATTTGATTTATTTCTTATACTACGCGCATTTTGGTAATATAATGATATAGACAAGTTGGACCCCATTTGTTTAAATTATTTGAATAATTATCTGTGTCACTGGAACCTTTGTTCACTAGTATAACAGACGGAATTCCCCTATTCGATTGCATTTTTAAGAAATAATATCTGAGTTTTAAGTTTCACCAAATTGAAGTAAGAAATTGTTTACGTAGTTCTCATCACTAACTTTTTTGTCTGCAGAGGACATATTAGAAGCCTGTTCAGGAACTCCAAACATAATCAAATTGGTTTTTCGAATTTGGCGGTGACTTCTTCAAATTTGATAGCAGATGACGTTTCTTTCACTTGCGATAGCTGTTTTTTTAATAATTCCACGGACTGTGATAACTTATCGATTATAATCTTTAATTGTGGGATAATTTCAGAACATTTGCATTTGGATGCATTGCTAGTAGTAGAGATGAGTCGACGACACTCCCGACATTTCGAGTCCAAGCCTGATATGGTTTTCATTAATTCAAACTGAGCCTTTGATATATCCAGGCATTTAATATGATTATGCACCTACATAACACAAATACAACATTTCAAGCTCGGAACTGTAGGCGTAATTGCTGTGTTAACTTTGCGCACGAGGACGGCATCTTTACAATTTATAATAATTAAATGCTTGTGCAAAAAGTCACTAATAAATGAGAAGCGAAGTGAATACGTCTGTCATTCTCGACTGTTCTTCTTTAACTAGATATGAAAAAAAAAAAGTACTTGGGAAACTATAACTAGATATAGGAACAGGTTACATTAATTACCTGTCTCTTTTATCGTATTAAATCACAGTCGTAATAAATAATTTTATTACAATAATATATAGTGGGTGCATTTACAAAGAAAATTTTAAAATCCGGAGAAAGTATCTTCTACATGTGATTTTATTTTGGTTGGTCGAAAGCTTTCCCCCAGAGTTTAGGCCTTGTTGGCTAATCCCTACAACTACCTGCTACTCATTATCATTCGGCAGTTTTTGTACATGGTTTGTTCTTTCTTGTAACGTTTCTTATTTTGTGTGCATGCAGCCACTCAAAATTGAACTTAACACTTGACAAGATGTTCTTTCTGATTTCTTTTACTTGTTGCTCCGTGCTTTTGAGTGTTGTGATTGGTGAGATATATCCTGGTGCTGTAAATCAAAATTTTTATTCAAATGGTGAGTAATAAATCAATGGATAATAGAAAATAGAAAACATTTTTCAAGTAGAATTTGTTGGGTACCAAGAATTAGGGTTGCATTCCCTCCTTACTCAGGTAGCGAAATTAGTCAGTAACTTGTAAGCATTCATCCACATACTGCATACAGTTCTAACAAAATACATTCTGTTACTCATCCAAATAAAACCATCCTGACCTATAACACTCAACAGAATAAAATTGTTGCCGCTTCTTTTTTCAATTTCCAGCAGTTTCAAAGATAGTTTACAATAGATATGTTGACTGAACCCAATTATTTTTTAGTTTTAGTTTAGTTACATTTTTTCTAGTTTAGTTAATAGTTTTTATTTTATTAAAATTAGAGTGATTTAGAACACTTCTTTGAAAAACAACACTAATTTCGTGCAGCAAACACACATTCGGTTTTATCTTATATGCTCGAAAGCGAGTTTGAAGTAGTTTTTTCACTTCCTGGGATTGAATTTTCATTCTTTGAACTCAAAAATTATTTTATTTGAGTTATAGTCTGTTAATAGTACAGTAGAAATCACTTGAAAACAGCATGCCGAGTCATCAAAAGCTGCGTGGAGAAATCGACCAGTGGCGTCGAGATTTTTGTTCTTTTAGGGGTCAATGAAAAATATTGTTGCGGACGTAAATGTTGAAAATTATAAAAAAAATATTCCAGTAGTTATTTACTGCACCTGCAAGTACAGTTGTTAGCGTGAAATATTTCAGAGCCTTATAAATTCCAATGAAATTTATATATATAACCTCACTTTTAAAATGTAAATATTTGACAATTTATGCTATTTTAAGATTTTCAGCAGATAATTAGCAATAGCAGTATTAAATTGTCTGTTCTGTGGTGTTTACAATGTCAAAGTGGTGAATAAATGCGAGAAAAACGAATTTTATTTGTTTATTTTATTATATATTTTTATTTTGAATACATTGTTTACAACTTACAACAAATATTTAATTATAAAGACATGGAAAAACTAATAGAGAATAAATAGTAAAATACAATACGAAAAAATTGAAACAGTACGGTTATGTTTAAAATATCAAAACTGAAATGTATTTTTAAATATTTCATCGAAAATAATGATTGATTCACTTACTCGCAAGTTATTCACTTACCTGTAGTGTAAATACGCAAAGAAACACAGTTTTATGATAATAATTTATTATTGTTAAATATATAGTGTCAAAATTTTTATCTTAATCATCACAATGTGTTGAAGAAATCCCCAACGAAATCGAAAACAGCAACGGCAAGCACACCACTGTAAAACAGCTGACATTTGAAAGTGGACTCGCCCGAACCAGAATTGGTCGTCTGCGCCACTTTATTAGTGTATTTACCTACTGTTTTCAAATGATTTGTACTATACCTAAAAGAATTATAAAATTTCGGAATATTAAATTGATCACAAAATTACAATTTTATTTAGAATTTCTTCATATACCGATAATATTATTATTATTATTAATGATATTATAATTAAACAAGTGTATAAATTTATTACAACAATTTTGTTGTCTCCAACGTAAATAACACCTAAAAACTTGTCGGTTATTTCTGATTAGTAAAATATTCAATATCCAGAGCAATTATGACACCTTGCTTATTGAGAGCCAAGTTGGGGACAAATTTAGACAATAAAGGAAAACAGTTAGTTCTTAGATTTTCTTAATATCACGGAAGAAGGAAACAATTTTGAAGCTTCCAATTTTTAACACGTACACCATTGAAAACACTTTTTTAGGAATAACGACCACCCCTCTCTTTCAACTGCACGAAACAAAAGATGTATTTATTCCGAAAAAAACTTCGGAATTTGGAAAAACGATTCACGAACATCAACCTCCTTATAAAAACCAACAGTTCAAACAAATCAAGAGACGAAACCAAAGGAAAGTGAGTCACGTTTCGTTCAATCACCACCAACAAAACAAACAAAAAGAAAATTTTAGATAAAAAAAAGAAGATTCAGACGAGCTGTCACCGCTCACGATGACAAGCTATGGGATTACGGAGTCATCCCTTACGAAATAGACGAAACGTTTACAGGCCGCAAGGACGTTCTAAAACAGGCAATGCGTCATTGGGAAAACTTCACTTGCATTAAGTTTGTTGAAAGAAACAACCAAGAACATCCTGATTACATTTACTTCGCGGAAATGTCCTGCGGGTATATTTCAATCTATAATTTGTTAGCAAAATCTGGAGTTTCGTTCCAGGTGTTGTTCATCCTACGTCGGGAGGAAAGGAGATGGAGGTCAAGCTATGAGTATCGGCCCTAATTGTAATTTTGGAAACATTTTACACGAGCTTGGCCATGCGATAGGTTTTTGGCATGAACATAGTAGACCAGATAGGGATAACCACGTCAAAATTATAAAAGAGAACATTAGAAGAGGTAAGTAGGCAACAAACTATACGAAAGAAAGTTTCAGTGTGGTTTCAGGTTGGGAGAACAATTTTAATAAACTGAAAGAAGAAGAAGTTACAACTCTGGGTTCTCTCTATGATTACGACTCGATTATGCACTACTCAAGAAACGGCTTTTCTAAAGGAGTCTATCTGGATACCATTCAACCCGTTGATTTGGAAAATGTAGTACACGATATTGGTCAAAGAATTCGACTGAGTGAAGGCGACATACAACAAACAAACCGTCTCTACAAGTGTCCAAGTAAGTTAAACACTGAAAAATCACTCCGAATATTTAATTTTCTAAAAATGTAGAATGTGGACAAACCTTTCAACAAAACTCGGGAACATTTTCTTCCACCAACAACAAAGAACAAAATTGCGAGTGGAGAATTACAACAACTAACGGTGAAAAAATTGTATTGACGATCCTTAAGCTAGATATAGGACAATCTCCTGATTGTAACAACTACATAGAAATAAGAGATGGTTACTGGTACAAGTCACCCCTACTGAAAAAACTCTGTGGCGGTAACAAAACTAAAACAGTTATTTCAACCGGAAGCAGGATGTTGATTAGTTCTTTCACAAAAGACCCAAAAAAATATTATAGTTTCACGTTGAAATATGAAGTTATATGTGGTGGGCAAATTTTCATCGAAAACGAAGAACATATTGAAAGTCCTAACTATCCAGATGATTACGAAGCAAATAAAAAGTGTACGTGGAAAATTACCGTCCCAAAGAATTATAAAGTCGCTTTAGAATTTTCTTTTTTCGAAATGGAAAATCACGGTGGTTGCTTATATGATTACGTAGAAATCAGAGATGGGTTTTCTACTGATAGTAAACTTTTGGGTTTATATTGTGGGCATACTTTACCACCGAATATTATATCAACTACTGAAAATTTACTTTTGAAATTTGTTTCTGATGCATCTATTCATAAGGGTGGTTTTGCGGCCACCGTTTTCAAAGAGTATGACAAATGTGCCATATTGGATCATGGTTGTGCCCACAATTGTGTCAATACTCTCGAAGGCTACGAGTGTGTTTGTAAAATCGGTTTTGAATTACAACCAGATGGAAAGAGTTGTAAAAGTAAGTTGTCTCTTCTTAAATGTGTGAGGTTTTATTGGAAATTTTAGGTACCTGCGGTGGAATATTGGAAGCTTCTTCCGGTAGTATTTCGTCACCTTCATTTCCTGAAACCTACCCTCCTAGTAAAAAATGTTTCTGGGAAATAGTTACCCAGAAAGACCATCGTGTCGTGCTAAATTTCACCCATTTTAATCTGGAGGGAAATAGTATAGACTATGTTCACCACATGTGCGACTATGACAAATTGGAAGTTTACAGTAAATTAAATGAAGGTGAAATCAAGAAACATGGCACGTTTTGTGGGTCTAAAATACCTCAACCAATCACATCAGAAAGTAATATTTTAAAAATAATCTTCAGCTCAGACGACAGCATGCAAAAGAGTGGCTTTTCTGCTTCTTTCTTCACTGGTGAGTAAAAAAATATGCAAAGACCTACCTTATAAACGAAAATTTTAGATTTAGATGAATGTTCTACCAACAACGGCAATTGCCAACACGGTTGCACCAACACTATAGGTTCCTACAGGTGTATATGTCCCGAAGGTTACACTCTCCACAAAAACAACCACAACTGTACCAAAGGCGACTGCTTTTACGAAATTTCATCCCCTTTCGGTAGGATACAAAGCCCCAAATATCCCGACGTGTACCCCAACAGGAAAACTTGCGTTTGGAAATTTACAACGCTTCCGGGTCACAGAGTTTGTGTGTCGTTTTTATTTTTTAGAGTGGAGTATCAAGAAGAATGTTTCTATGACCGTGTTGAACTCTATGATGGTCTTTCGTCAGGTGATCGTACTTTGGGCAAGTTTTGCGGAGACAGGTTACCTGAACCTTTAACTTCTTCCGGTACAGACCTGTATATGACTTTTAAAACTGACGCTTCCACTCAACGAAAAGGTTTCTGGGGTACTTACTCGACGGTGTGTGGTGGGGTCCTGCAGGCTGAAACGAGGGAAAAGTATATTTATTCGCATGTACAATTCGGTGTGGGTAATTATGGCAACGATATCGACTGCACTTGGATTGTTAAAGCTGACTATGGGTTTGGTGTAAGATTGGCGTTTTCAAGTTTTGATATAGAGGACGATGTGGATTGTCTGTATGATTATGTGGAGATATTTAGTGAAAAGAAGTCAAACAGTTTTGCGCGTGGGCGTTATTGCGGTAATGTGGTAAGTTAGTTTGTTTTGGTGGATTTCAGTAAATGTATATATTGTTTCGTAGAAGCCAACGGATTTGCTGTTCAATGATGTGGTTGTGCTGCGTTTTAGAACTGATGACTCCTTTGGAAGAACAGGGTTTAAATTAATTTATCAAAGTGATAAATCTGTTATGAAACACATTTTAAAGAAACAATAATTCTGTTCTGTGTAACAAGGAAGTAAAAAACTAAAAAACGATCTTCGCTCAATATGTCTAACAAATTAACTACCGTCATATGAATCACTTTTGCTTCAAAAGTACTAAATTGGCTTTAATCCATCTTAAACTTTATTGTTTATACGAGAGCAGTAAAATGGGATCTTTTACTTCACGGGAGAAATGATTTCATTGGATTAAATATTTTCGTTAAAAAAAATAATAAACACCGAAAAACAATGTTTTTCTTTTTAAGACAAAACTATAGCGTATTTTGCAATCTAAAAAGCCGACAGTGTGTGGAATAATAATAATAACTATTATTGCCCAACAGTGTAAAATACATCAATTACAGGTACAACTTATTTATGTAAAAATGCACAATTATAAATGAAAATTAAAATGCTAAATAACATAATAATGTCTAAACTTACTTAAAATAAAATCAGTTGGTGATATGATATCAATCACTCAAAAAATTAATAATAAAGCATTTGAAAATACTTGAGCAGTAAATTAATATTACTTATTTAAAAGCAATCTCAAGACAAATTTTTTAAATAACAAGTACCTATTCTAGATGGAGTATCTCAACGTCATCCCAAACTTCATTGTATAAAGATGACATCAGGTATAGCGTCGATCTTATAATTATATTTGTGCTGAGTACATTGCAGCTGAAATCTAAATGATGCCTGGCATCTACACGTGGAACCAGAAAGTTCATTTTTTCAAGCATTTGAGGTAGATTCAAGTGTGAGTGAAGCAATTTATACAGTAACATTCATTTGACGCCTAGTGAGGCGTCTTCTAGTAAGAAGAAGATTAAAATTAATACTCGTATATTCTCGAAAATTTTAGAAAAATTATGTGCTTGCAAATCAATTTTCGGCTTATTTTGAGCATAATGTTGTTCCTAGAATTATTATAATATCGTTTAGTTGTATTTTTATGTATAACTAAATTCTTATTTCCTTTAGCACTTCGATATTTGACGATAGGTCTTTTATCACTCTGGGAGGTCCCTTTTAAAATGGCACTGAACTTATTATTGGTTTCTTTTTTATTAAAATTAAATCGTCTTTCTCATATTTCACTGCAGATATGAATCTAAATTTAATTTTGATCAAAACTTTAGTAACTTATTCATCCCTTACATTGTGAAGGTCAGAACGAAAGACTGCAGTTTATCATAAATTTATAAATTTCCGCTAAGAATATGCTGTTTGTAGTTTGACAGTAAATCGCATTGGAAATCTTTAAAACCTGGTTTATATAAAGCGAATTAAAGTTAATTCGCGATTAACGTTTAACTGAGGTCCATTGCTAATCAACATGCATGTTTTAACCAATCACGGGCTCATATTCTATATTTTAGTCCTCTGTTCAATTAATCGAGGATTAAATATATAATTGGCTTTCTATCAACCGGCGTTAAATGTTGGTAATATTTTTCAGCACGTACTAATCTTTAAAAATTAATATTTCAATTATTATTTGCGGAAATTTTTGTACGCATTTATCACCAGTGTTTTCAGTTTATAAAACTATAAATACTCCAATAAACTTGATCGACTTTTTTAGTGCACAACAAATATTTGGAGCAGGCTTTGGAAATTTTACTTGTAGTTTATTTATAACACAGTAGATTGACAATCAAAACGAAAAGGGCCATCACATGGTTTGCGTAGTAAAACAAGTTAAGTTGGTTGAGTCTATTCATGGCTCTCGAGCATGGAAACATAAGGCAGTAGCGCCGTTAATTTATCTTACTTTTGTACTGCCTTCGTGTGTATGGTGTCAGCGTCTCGTGTTTCTTGTTTTTTTTTAAGTTATTATTAGTTATTTTGTCACTTTGTGTTTATTAGCATTAAGAATTTTTTTTAATAAAATCTTCAGAGCATTTATTATTTTAAGGACCTTTTGGATAAGTCAGTTACGCCACTGGTAACGGATAGGCGCGCATCTGAAGCTCCGCCCATGTCACCTTTCGTCCTGCTTGCCACACACGTAAAATAAGTTGCCTACGCAGAAATATTCAGGTGTGAACAAATAAAATGAACATCCTGTATATTTGAAACAAACATTTAATAATTTCTGAAGGCTAAGTAGGCAACCAAATATACTTCAGAGAATGGATGCATCGTCGCTATCCTGAATGTAGACGGGTTGACAGATAATTGACTTGACAATGGGAAAGGCTCAACAGCTCTTCTATTGTAAAAACTGTAAGAGCATTAAGTAATACTCCCTCTGACCCAAATTAAGTGTCCGATTTGGAAATTAATTTTTCACATACATATTTATTCCGTTATTCTGATTTCTAAACCATATAAATGCAACAATCACGAAAGAGACTTTTTTGAATTGTCATCTATGATAAATTGGATTAACAATTTTCATTAAAATCGAGTATTCTATAGCCCCAGATTGCACGGTTTCGAGTTTAATCTTTTCAGTTTACACTTACTTCAAGAAGAAACTGGTAGTTGACCCGACGAAGTTCTTCTATTGTTAAATTAGGCTTTTTTCTTTGAATTGGGGGCAACTGGATTTATTTCCATGCTGCCTCCACACCAGTTTGTTAAACAAAGTCTCTTTAAATTCGTTTAGAAACAAAGGACTATTCTTACCAAAGCGAACACATTCAATGTTTTTTTACACATTAAAATGTTGCATTTGACATATATGAAATAGTAACTTAATCTACATACTTAATACAAATAAATGTTTGTACAGTATTGGAAAAAGATGGCCGACAGTGCAAGTGTCGCTGAGACATTGTGCTCTGTGTGCACATATCTACTTGTTCATAATACGAAAATCTTCATGGAAATAGTTTTTATACTGCATTAAAAGCCTTCGTTTTTTTAATAAAAAATAAAAACAGAAAAACTTATTTTTCTTTTTTAAGCCAAAGCTATAACGTATTTTGGCTTAAAAAAATCTGACAATGTAGATAATATTATTGCTCACCTGGGAATAAAAATTATTTTTTCGTTAAACTATCCATTTTTTAGTTATTGTTGATTAAAGCAAGACCTAAAAAGGGCATTTTTTGTAAATGTAGGCAACCAAACATCTTCTTTCGTCAATAACGAGCCAAGAAAGTGTATGATTTACGATAGGGGTTGGCCACTATTGAGAGATTAGACTTAGATTTAAAACCCTTGTTGGGAAAGTATGCAAATGAGGTGACCGTAGTGTGTTCAACATGAAAGTTGTGGAATCGTATAATTATGTATTAGTATTATATTAATCCAATTTCAGAATAACAAATAAATGATCGAGTGTGAATTTTTTACAAAACTGCCTAACTTGTTTCAACAGCTATAATTATTGCTGATCCCAAATGTGATTTTAAAATTATCAATCACTGAAAAAGAAAAGAATAGAACAACTTTTTCCAAAGCACACTATCAAGATTCGATTATATGTGACACTAATAATCGAGTGTATGTGTTGACATGGCCGACTAGTATAAAGATTATGGCCTGTCCAAGAGGTACCATACGTGTTGCCATCTGTTAATAATTACACTTAATAATTTAGCAAAATTTTAATTTGATTTGACATTATGAGACTTCAAAACGTGTAATGGTGGTTTGTTTCGGTATGAATGCCTTTGTGCCTTTCAAAAAGTGTTAATAATTCTTTTGTCGTTTTTGAATTATTAATAGATGGCAGCACGTATGGTACCTCTTGGATAGGTCATAATCTTTATACTAGTGGGCCATGGTGTTGAATTACTTACATATCTTTATACATATTATAGCCTCTTCTAAATTTAAAAATGTATGTAAATTTTTTTGACTGAGATAGAATATAATAAATATAATGATATAAAAATAAATAATGGTCTGTAAATCATAAATCTTTTTTTATTATAAGACAAAGTTGCTGATTTGCCAAATAACTATTTTATCTTCATAATTTGCTTTGGATAAGTTTATTCTATTCTATTCATATTCATTGATTCATGATGATTTTGAAATTTGTCTAACTTGGGATCAGCAGTAATTATAGCTGTTGAAGCAGGTTAGTCAGTTTTATAAAATATCCAAACTCGCTTATTTATTTGTTATTCCGGAATTGGATTAATATAATACTCCTACATAATTGTACCATTCCACAACCTTCAGGTAGAACACACTACGATCACCTCATTAGCATACTTTCTCAACAAGGGTTTTAAATCCATCTAATCTCTCAATAGTGGCCAACCCTTATCGTAAATCATACACTTTCTTGGCTTGTTCTTGACGAAAGAAGATATTTGGTTGCCTACATTTACAAAAAATGCCCTTTTTAGGTCTTGCTCTAATCAACAATAACTAAAAAATGGATAGTTTAACGAAAAAATAATTTTTATTCCCAGGTGAGCAATAATATTATCTACATTGTCAGATTTTTTTAAGCCAAAATACGTTATAGCTTTGGCTCAAAAAAGAAAAATAAGTTTTTCTGTTTTTATTTTTTATTAAAAAAACGAAAGCTTTTAATGCAGTATAAAAACTATTTCCATGAAGATTTTCGTATTACGAACAAGTAGATATGTCGCACAAGTCTTCAAGTGCTATAGTAAGGATGATATTGGAAGTGGCGTTTTGCCGTATTTCGGCAGATTTTAATGACTGTAAGGAGGAGCCTTAAGAGACAATAATAGCTTACGATTGCCATTCTCAAGATTAGAAATCGGTAAACAACATCCAGATTATATGGGAATTTTATGCTACAATAAAATTAGGAAAATTATAGTAAATTGTGATAGGTTAAGCGTAGGTTTATTTAAGAGTAAGGTTAAGATGCACGTAAACCAAAATGCCTATTATAATATTGAGGAATTTTTTAATTCATAAATTTTATGTTGACGTTATTATTATTAATCAATAAATATAAATAAAATAAATATTCGAGCTTTATATACTAATAATTGTTCTATTATTTCTGCTTGTCTACACCGTGCCTTAGTTCCCTTATCTTCCGTACTTATTTCTTCCAGTCCAGTCCTCTTCCATCCTCGTTTAGCACTTCTTCTCTACTTTCCTCCGATTCTCTTAATCCTTCACATCCTTCCATCTTATGCTCCATTGTTTCTCCCTCGCTCCAACATATCCTACACCTTCTGTCAGTTTCATCCATCCAAAAATTATTCTCTTTCTCTTCGTTTCCACATCTAAATCTCGTCATCATTCTTTTCTCCTTTCTCTCTCTCTCTCCCCTAGCCCCCATGTACGTCTATTCTCCTTCTTCATCTCCTTCCTTGTTTCCATTCAAAATTTCACATTTGATCTCTTCTATTATCTTCCACAATATTTTCGCTTCTTTGTTATTTGCTTTGTCTTTTGATCCTCTTTTCTCTCCCTTTTCTTTATCTACTATTCTTGTCCCCTTATCGCCCAGTCTTGCGTTAAAATCCCCTCCTAAAAATATTGTTTCATCTCCTTTTTCTTTTGTTTCCTTTTCTATTTTTATCTTGGTTTCCTCCATTTTCTTGCTGTAAACGATTATTATTTCCCATCGATTGTTATCCAGCTGTATTATTTTCTTCATTAGTCCGTTTTTATTATTACTTCCCTTTTTCAGTTCTTGCATTTCCTTTCGAATTCCCATTACTATTCCCCCGCTTGCTCTCCCCTTTTTCTTTTGCTTTGTCGCCCCCAGTTTTCTCTTTGTACCCTACTTTGTCTCTACTAGCCCCACCACATCAAATTTTCTCACGTAGTCCCAGACGTTCTTTTCCTTTTTTCGCAACCTTTGGACATTTCAAAACAGTAGCTTCACCCCTTTTTCTCCTAATTTTGAACCAGTTTCCCTTTTTCCGATTTCTCTATCTGCATCCTTTATTCCTTTTCCTTTTCCTTCTTCCATTATTTCTCCATTTCTTCCTTTTCTTTTGGCTCATTACTAAAAATTTTCTACCTTCTTGAGTCTGCCTTCTTCTTCACTCCATTTAAAATTTCTGCCATCTACAGTTAACTTCTTATATCCCATTCTAACCATTTTTCCCTTATTTCTCTCTTTTGTTGCCTCTTCTTTTATTTTGATTTGAATTTTTCTTTCCGTTTTCGTCAGATCATAATTTATCTATGTAAATTGACGACCCTTTTAAGTTGCTCTTGCTTTTCGTTACGTTTATTTTTTTTTATCTATTTTCGAATTCACCACATATTTAGGTAAACTTTCTCTGCAATTTTGAATACACTTTTAATTTTACACCCTACTTTGGCTTTCTCTTCTAAAAATTTTGTCACCTTTTCAATTATTTGCTTCTGCTCTCCTGTTTTTATTTCCAATCGCATCATCACTACTTTGTTTCTTCTCTTGTCTCTCTCTATTCGGTCTAGTTGACTTTTTACTTCACCCTCTCTCTTTCCCGTTTCCTTCTTAGCTCGCTGACATACATGCAATACATATATATATATATGGTAAACAAAACCTTTTCATCTTTAAAAATAAAGGTGATATTTAGCAAAATACAGAAATCGGACAATTATTCTGGAACAGAGGGAGTAGTATATTGCAAACCCAGGTGGAAAGTGCTTCATTATTTTCGAGAGAAAAGATGACCGAGGGATGCCGAGAAAGGAATGAAATTTTCCCGAAATTTTATAAGTCCTATTTTGTTCACAGTTGACACATAACTTATCTACAAGCACTATAAATGTTTACGTTCTATAGTGGAAAGTATCATTCACTTCCATCTCATGAGCGGCAAGTGACATAGTGTTACTGCTCATTCATTTTCCACCTTTGAGGTGGAAGTGTAGGGTGAAATATCTCCCTTAATTATTCTTGTGCGCGTTTCTAACACAACTCTATACTAGTAGAAATGTTTAGACTTTTAAATTGGTGGGTGCAAATTAAAAAATATTGTTTGAATACTCATTTAAACAATAATTGTTACTGAAATAATCAATGTGCATTCCTATTTGTTTTCAGTAAAATCGCTCATTCGCCCCATTACGGCGGCAAACGAATATAGATTTCTGTAAATCTACAAATACTGCATATTAAACTTTATAGAAAAATGTACATAACTTACCTTCATCCCCAATTCGTAATTGCAAGCAACGTTGTCAGTAAACTGTAACTTTAGCGGATTCTGAACATTAACCAAAGTCACCAAGATAATTTTTCTGTTGCTTTTGTTAAACGAAACCCAACGGACCCCATAGATAGCATCGAAAATCAATTCAGTCTAAAAAAGTATGAAAATTTTACTAAACAAAAATTGTTTGTTCATGTACCTCATCTTCAATTTGCTGACCATAATAAACGTACACTACCAAGGTACTAAGAGAGGTAATGCACCACATAAAATTCTGGAGATAACAATAGTAACCGAAAAATTCCCCCTAAAACAGACGAAGCTTTAAGTTACTTCTGAAGAATTGTTGAAAAAAAAAATCACAAGATAAACAAAACTCATAACTCCAAGTCCCATCAAGACCCCAGACAAAGCCATTGTTGGTATGAAGTGTCCAGCTAAATCGCTGCCCATGTTTGTCAGTCTGCAATAAAAATGCTTTAACAAAAAAGGAAAAACCAACTTTAGTTTAAGTACTTTATCAACATAGTAATTCGGGTCACCATCTCTTGCAGTCTTTCCTTAACCACATTTTGATATGCTTCAGAGTTAAGTAATTCGCTGTCGTCGTTGTCGCTGTAATCATCGACTATACCTCTGATAAACTCGAGCAACATATAAATTTGAAATTTTGCGTGAGAAACAAAGTACATGATTGTGTAAGCTAAACGCACTGAGACGTAGGCAACTATTGGAAAACTCATGTAATAAAGTGCCTCTAGGACGTACAGGGGATAGTATTTTTCAAAAAGTAGTACAGCGAATTGCATTTCTCTTTCTTTACCGACGGGGATAAGCACGGCTCCGGTTATTAAAGTGAGCACTAAATGAAGTTTGACAAAATTTGTTTCGTATTTGCACTCTTTTAAAATGCGATCTTTGGAATTTGGTGTAATGTTGTGGAGACCGACCAAGTAAGACCGATTTGTCTTGACGAATTCTCGTACCGCAGATCTTTTCCACAATATAGTGGCAAAGTTAATATTTACCTAAAACACGAAAAACATACGGGATTTTTTTAAATCAGCGAGTTACAAAACTTACGGCGACTATGACCAAATATGTTGAGACATACTGAGTCAAAGATTCCACACTGAATTCCGTTATGAAGAAGTATGTATTAAACAGCATCAAAATTACATGCAGAACGAGTATAAAAACTTGAATGACCACAAATATCTTATTTTCAAATATTTCCATTCCTAGGAAACGTATGACCGACAAAACGTCATCTAAAAATGCAATTTATTATTGTATGTTGACGGAAGAAATTTCGTGTACATAACTTGATAATGTTAGTTGGAACAAAAACAGAACACAGATTTTGTGGAGTGTATTTTTCAAAAATCGATCAATATAGTGAATGGTAAGCATTTTTGTAACAATTTATAAACAGTATGGATAATAATGAAGAATTCTGTTCAGATTAATTCCAACAGATTATCTGCAACAATCTTATTTGAAGATTGTATTGTATGTCTGCCAATTCATCTAGAATTTTCGTTATTGACTATTTAAACAATAGTCAGTACAGAAAAAATACCAAATGAAATTAGACGTTGCTGTCGTCAACCCATAACATAAAAAAGTAAAGTAAAAAGAGAACGTATTTTTTAAAAATACACAAAAATTGACAGAATTTTTGGTAGAAATTTTCCCAATGTGGTAACTTGAGCAAGGATTTGTTACGCCTAAGTGAAGAACAACACATTTTTCTCTGTTAATTCTCGATTACTGTTAGGGTTGACATTTGTCAACCCTAACAGGCGACCTTAAAATATTTATTTTAAGGTCGCCAGCGTATGAAGGATAATCAGACCTTAAAAGAGTGTTTAGGTCCGATATGTGCAATACAAATAGAACAGGGCCGATAACGACCACACCAAATATGACGGGATAGATATTAGAAAAGGATTTTCCAGCTATGTCAAAAAAATATCGATCTGATAGAAATGTAGTCACTTCACTGGTTATACACAACTAACATCATTTTCACAACCGTAAATCAATACTTAGAATCAAATTTTATACCGTCTACATGACTCAAACTGAAATGTGCATTTTAAAATGAGAAAATTTGATCACATTCTAATAAATTTCCTGTTAAGAAAGTTAAAAGCAAAAAATGAAAAAGCATACTTACATACACATAAAATAGTGAAACTGAATGCAACTGGAGATATTTTATTATGCACTGAAAATCTTACCTGATGGGTTAACAGAAGTATGAAAAAGAAATTTGAACATGACTGCGTATAATGGGAAACGTTCGTTTAGTTACAGTAGCTAAAAGAGAAGTAAATCATTTTGAGTACGCACGCTATTGATCTGCGATTAAAAGAAGAAAAACCAGAAACTAATGATGATTATTCAAGTATCAAGTTTTACTCAAGTTGTGTATGAAATCAATGACGTGTACCAAATATCAACGAAAGTTTGTTTGTTATCTATTTGTTGATATTAATTATTCAGTTGATGTACCAAGTTTGTTTAGAAATCAAGCATTTTTACTGTGGACAAGTGACGTCAAAGCCAGTATGTATTTTATCCAGATTCTGATATACATTATTAAGCCCAAATACTACTTGAAGTTTTGCTTAACACTTTGTTAAAATTCGTTAATGGTGTTACGAGTTAAGGGTATTTAAAATGGATAAAATTTAAAACTCAACAATTTATTTCCCAATAGTGCTAATTTACACGAGTAACTATGCGGTAATTATGTACGGAATAATTCCGACTCTAATATTCTCCAGTTGACTGGACTAAAAAAACTGTCTTGTTTCCGACGGTGGTCCCTATTTAAATTATGTGTTCCTCTGGATGGTTTCCGAGCGCTGTTTCGAGGTTTTTGGTAATGCGGGAAGATATGGAAGGTATCGATAGCTCTGCCTCTACAAGTGTCGAAGCTTCAGTGCCTCAATGTACTGAAAGTTTGTTACACAAGTTTATTGTTTATTTGAAATTTATGCATTATGTTTCAGTGATGGACGGAAGTCAGGCAGAAAGTTCAAGTGTTGTTTGTCCAAGTGATCCTGACGTAAACATTGGAGAAGACATTACTGATACATCTAGCTTGGAGTTCACACTCAACACATCAACTCCTTCCAACAGAAAAAAAGTGGATCGCTCTTTAAAGAAAGGAACTTGGTTGGAGATGATTTAATTTATTAATAAACAATAATGGGAAAAAATCGAAAATTTTACAGGGTGTGCTAGTTATGCTAGAAATATGTCGGAGTATACTGAGAAAATTTTGGAAGACCAAAACAAAGTGTTTATGAATAATATTTCGACGCAATGGGAGATTCAAAGAGAATATGAAGAAGAACCCTTGCGACGTGAACAGGAATTCCAGAGTCGTATGATGCAAGGTATTATGTCGACATTTTTACAAGGTTTGCACCTTTCAATTTCACAAATGTTGGTACTTCAAGCGGAATGTTTGCACCCTACACTGCGGCCCAAACGTGTCCACCATTTCCCTCAACATCAACTGCTGATAACAGTGAAGAAAATAAACGTAATGAAAAAATTAGATGTATGAAATATGAATGGGTACCAAATAAAAAGCTTATAATCTAGTTTTATTTATATCTATAATCATTAACACAAATAAGTACTAAATAATAACAAAAAGATTAAACTTTATAACAAGTTTGTCGTAAAGAAAAATTAGAGATTAAATAATTAGAAAGGTTGTTTCTGATTTGAGTTCTTGTCAAGTCATCTCTTCTTCGATGACCAAGCTTTTCAGGCTGTGGAAAAATATGTTCCGCGACTTGTACCTCTTCTAATCATTAAAGGATTCTTGTTCTGCCATTACACCACCTGAGTAACCTTTCATCAACCATGACATGAGTGGGTAGGCGGGATCTCCTACAATCAGGAATGGTATGTTCGCTCCATGTATTTAATCAATGCCCCATGGAAAGGAAGACATTTTTGTGGAATAATTTTGTCGACATTTTTATATAATGATGACTCTTTAAGTACGGTTGCGTCATATGTATTTCGAGGATATTTTACAAATATGTCTCTGAATCTGAAAAACAAAATGTATGTCCAGGTTGTGGACTGCGTCTTCCCTAAATTCCCCGTGGAAAAGCCCTCGATCTTGCCCGTCTTCTTCCCGAGCTCCTCATTCGCCCTCGGCCCCGCTATCTTTCCCGTTCTTATCTCCTCTGTTTTCCGATAGCTCCCACCAACACTACGCGTGATAGACGCGTTCTTTCATTTCATGTGAAAGAATTTAAAATTAAATAAAAACCCGTTATAAACATACACCATAAAGTCCTTATGTTCAATCTGAAAAAAAAACCACATCAATGTATTAGAAGTCTGCAACCAATATCACATCAAACCTACGCGATTAATAAAAAAAAATTAAACTCGTTAACTTGTCATAATATAGTCTGGAAATTTGAGAAATGTGTACAACAAAATAAAAAGTACAAAAAATATTAAAAATGATACTATCCCCATGCAAGCATTCGAATTGTAGGTACGGCGTGCTATTTTTTGGGTCAATTGTTCTAAAAATTTCGTTTAAATAATGTAGTCCTGTAGTTTCCGATATTATGTTTCTAAAAAACAAAAATCGACACAGACGCGGTCCGACGGCAAACGGCAGACAGATACCTAGTTTTTCGTACTCTAGGGGTCTTGCACTGTCGAGAACACGTGAAAGTCGCCAGTTGCCCGATGGACAATATTTCCTTAGCTTACGTTCGGGAAGTAAAAAGTATCAGTCTATCTATTTACCACTTTCCGCAATTGTTTAAAGGCTACGATGAAGAAAGATTTTAAAACTCTGTATCTTGTTGTTTATAACGCATTATTTTTTTAAGTCAAGTGACCTAAGTTTTAATTAATTAACTTATTTATTTAATAAATTCTTAAAAGATTTGTTACTTATGATTTAACTGTCAAATATCTAGCTTTTGTAAATTAATTATTTCAAAAATTGCTAAGTATTTCTATATCAAAATTATATATTATTTGTATTATATTATTATATTTTGCCTTTTTTCTTAATATACGTAGTATTCTTTGAACAACACGATATTCAAAAACATATTTTTAACTTTTTGTAAAGAAATAATTATTTTGCAGTTAAGCTACACCTTCTTGGTTCAGGGCGAATAAAGAAAAATCATTACAATTAAGATAGGGCGGGTGGGCGGGTTTACATTTTGCCTTTTAGTTTTAATATGTGTGAACTTCTTTTCACAACATGAAACTTAAAACATGGTCAAAATGGAAAATTTGTATAAGGAAACATGGATTTTGCAATTAAGCTCCGCTATAACTATTTTAACCATGTTTTAAGTTTCTTGTTGTGAAAAGATGGCTATGTATACTAAGAAAAAAAACGCAAAACATAAGCCCCGCCCACCCACCCTATCTCAAATCTGATGATTTTGTTTATTCGTCGTAAGCCGAGGGGCGGAACTTAATTGTAAAATACTTATTTTTACTAATAGTATGTATATTAAGAAAAAAACAAGCCAAAAATTAAGGCTCACCCATATCCATCCCAAGCTCAATTGTGATGAATTTTTCATTCGTTGTGAGATTGAGGGGCGGAGCTTAATTGCAAAAGAAGGCTACGTATATTAAGAAAAAAATGCAAAATATAAAATAATATATGTGTTCTGTTTATTGGTACTGCTATGTTAGCAAAATTTTCTAAAGTTTTTTCTTTTCTTCGTTCCCTATTTTTTCTCACAACAATACGATGATTCCTTGTAGAGAAATATGGACTTTGCGGTTAAGCTCCACTCCTCGGTCTCACGACGAATAAAAAAAATTCATCACAATTGAAATGGGACGGGTGGGTGGGGCTTATCTATTTCTATAAGAAAATACTTAAAATATTAAATAATGAATTTGAAGTTATGTTTTAAGTATTATGTTATTAAAAACAAACTCTATACATTGAGGAAAAGAAGCCAACGATTAATAAATATAATTTATATTATTACTTTCCGAGCCTGAGCTAAGGAAGTACCTATTATAAAAGGGTCCATCCGACGAACTGCTACTTTCATGTTATCTATGATGTCCATGTTTGATACGTTACTATAATTTGAGAAATAAGCATCTGAAATAAAAAATATTCGTAAACTTCAATTCTTTTAGACTCAATTTTTGATAGAATATTTTGACCCTCTAATATTTGTGACTCTAGACGACGT